TTTCTAGGGAGGAAAAGTTTTTACGAAATTGACTGTTTGGAAAGTTGTTTCAGTGAAGCGTACGTAACGCCCTTCGCACTCTCTAGTCGATGGCCATCCATCAATCCCTATTTCCGCAAGTTTTCGGTTAGCTATCGATTCCTTCATATACATAGACCCTTCGTCCTATCGTGTCTAAGGCAACATCAGCAAGATAGCTTTACCAACATGTCCATCGGCTTGTCCAGCAAGAAAACACGTGTCCCTCTTCATCTCCCTCTTCTTTTTATACTCGCTATCCTCTCTCAGTCCCTTTTTCACATTCAGTTTGCTAAACGACGTACGTTAACAAAGCATGCACACCGCCTTCAACTTTGTGCTTTCTTCTCTTCGTCTTTCGATTTTTAAAACGTCGTCCGTGGAAAATCAACGAAGAATTCAGACACGTTGCGTAAAAAAACATGTTCAACATGTCGTGTAAAAATAAACCTGAAGGGGCGGCGGGAAAATCAATATTTTTTTCTCTTGAAGAAAAGCTCAGCCTACGATACAATTCATCCACTATTAAATATTATATTGCGAATATTTTCCGAAATTCATACCTCTGTAAATACAAATTTAAATAAAGATTTGTTTCACCTTCTATATATTACAAGGAATACTTTACATATTTCTGCACGTTTAATTAAACTTCCAATACGTTCACAAAAAAAAAGCGTGCGTTCAAAAAGCTTTCTCGATCCAATAAGCTAGAAATAACGAGAAGCTATAACTTCTAAAGTCTTCGCCAAAACATTTCGAACAATTCTTATACAAACACCTCGTAAACAGCCTAATAATTTCAGCACACGAAGCCAGAGATACGATTTATCCGACAATGAAACTCGTGGATCGACCTATCCATCCCTTCAACAATCACGTCTGCACAACGATCCGCGTGATACGAGCGGAGAGGCAAACGGGCAAGAAGCGAGATTGATGATTCCGCCGGAAGTCGCTGCCGGCCCGTCCCGTCCCGTCCCGTCCCGTCCCGTCCCGTTCACAGCGGCATTAAGTCGCCGCCCCCGCGTTGCCCTTGGCATTTATATTCATCGGCAAGTTTGACTATACGCCACGGCGGGACGGCTTTCCGCGAACGGGGCCAACCTCGAGGAAGATATCGGAATCGGAAACGGGGAAAGGTGGAGCCGTAATGGAATAGGCAAATCCTCGCGGCACTCCATCCTTCGACGGCTAGGAGAATCGGCCGTCCACCAGGCACTCGAGGTTATAGCCTGGCTTTTATTTCCCGAAGCATCGATCTCCATAAAGTTGCGCCCGCGAAATGAGTTCGCCCGGCCTTCGAGCCGACCTCCTTCAGCGGGCGCAATCGTACTTGCACGCGTATCGTTCGAGTTTCCGTGAATCCTGCACACCAGACCGCGGTTTAATTGCGAGCCGTTCGATCCCCGCTTCCTTCCGAACGCTCGCTATAAATACGGCCGGCGATCAAGTGCTTGCAATCGCTACCACGCTCGCATTTCTCAACACCTGCCTCGTTAGGATGATACCGATTTTTCGAACGTACGAACAGAATGACACTTGATTTAATTTTAAATTAATTTCGAAACAAATAGTAGAAGCTGACGACACGATTTGCTACAAACGTATGAACGTTAATTGTCGAAAACGAAATTCTAAACCTGGGGCTTGCTTTCGGAGAAAAGTAACGGAACGAAGAACACACAGGGTTCACGTCCGATTATCGCAATTCCATTTCCCCGCGATCGAACGGCGCGAATTTTCCCCCGCAGACATTGTTGGAAAGCATGCGTGAAAGACGAAGACGCCGACGAATCCGAGAACTTTGCTCCACGGCAAATCGACTTGTCACGAAATCCTATTGCCGCCTCCTGCATGTTTCCAGCGTTCTTCTCGTTTTTCTCTCTAGCCTCTCGCCAGCTCCCCCGCCGTGAAACCCGATAAAACCTCGTTCGACGGCGTGCTCAAATTTTCGAGACGCTTAGCCCCCATGATGCTTGCCCGGAATCGGATTTTACCGCGGCGAACTCACCTCTAACGCGCCATGATTATTCCTCGCTGCCACTACGCCATTACGCGCAACGTCTCGTTACGCGCGCGAAATTTTCATGATGCGGGTGACAGAACGTTAACTACTTGCAATTAGTATCTCTGTCAATTAGCATCGAGCTATAATATCAACCTGGCATTCAAACTGTCTGAGGCTGAGGGAGGGTTTGTTTCGAAAATCCAAAAAAGAAGTTGCAAGCTACATCAGGGAAACTTCTTTTAAATCTCATATACTCGCGATTTTTCTCTCGTTTTGAGATTAAGGATTTACTAATCAGTTTCTTCTGCACTCCCGAGCAACTTTGTTCTTAATATACTTAAAGCGTTCGATACTCTTCGTTACGAACGAGAGTAAAAGTTGCGAGACGTCTATAAAACTCTTGAACGCAGGTCAAAGAAGAGCAAAGAATCATAATAATAAAAGTTTCAATTACGTTTAAACTCAAGCAGATTCGCCGAGTTCCATTTACGGATATTTTTTCATTTTTTTTTCTTTCGTGCACGGTTCCAGTAGAAAAAGTAAACAGCGTACGAGTCCAAATGGGTTTTCATGAAGTATCGTGATGAAAATTCATAGGAGCGCGGATGTGTGGAATCTACGGTTACGTGTCTGAGACGCGATGCAACGCGTGACGTGCGAAACGACTGCTGCGAGCAGAAAGGGTTAAAGAAGGAACGTGACTTTTTTTCCCTTTGTGCATGATGCACAGGTATCGCGCAAGAATGCGCTTTAAAATTCAAATTCCCCGTGAAGCTGTCGTGAGGTAACAGTTGCGAATAATGGAAAGTAATGTACAAGCTTCGTGGAATTTCTTATCAGAACAGCAAAAAGCATCTCTTGGACATTGCCAAGTTTGGAATAATTTCTAGTATTTTCGTGATTTTTGGAAAATAATAAATAAAAAAGAAAAAAGGAGAAACTACTGTATCGAGAAGAAATGAGATACAAAGTAGGCAAATGTAGCGGCACTACGAGTATGACAAAAAAAGATTTCTGTCATTTCCAAAGAACAAGTACGGAGAAATCGCGACGTAATCGGTGATACAGCATCAGAGAGGTATCTCCGTCAGAGAGGCAATAATGAAGGCTGGCTTTAATTGAATACTTCCCAGGAAGTCTATAGAAGGCGTTAAACAAACTATCGGCATTCCGACCACGTGGGAGTACGCGTTCGATGCCGGATCCACAATAAATCCTTTTCTTTCCTCGCGCAACTCTCACCCTTCCATCTTTCACCTTCTCTCCTTTCTCTTTGCACCGTGCCACCCTCTCGTTTCAATCTTTTTGTTTTGCCCCGGCTGTATCCAGCCGAGCTGCGACTGCCGGTTTCCGGTCTGGAATTTCCGGCTTAGCTTAAGAGCTAATAGCACAGCCAGGAAAACTACGCTTTTCCCTCCTACAACTGATCTATCTCCGGGCCCTTTCCTTTCAATTCCTTGACAGATAATCGTTCTCCCGAACGCAATTAATTCTCATCTTCGACCAGCGACTTTCCACCGTGAGGCCGGATGGTACGAATCATCCAAGTGTGACGGCTTGATCGATACTGATACCGAGATCATAGTTCGTGGAAAAAATTGTAAAAAAATCTCGAGCACGGCCCTCTTGCGCAATAATTTAGGAATTCAACTATTGATAAATCGGCGAGTTACGAGTTGTAAGTTATAGATTTCTTTGCTGCAATTTTTATTATTATTATTTTTAACGTCCGATTAATATCTCATTAGTATTGTTCATCGAACTCGTAGAATTTCACTAATAATATTAATTCACTCGCGCAAGGTAGCTCAAATTGTAAGAAATTGGAGAATCTGGAATTACTAGACGAACTTACGAATGATGAAGATTTTTTTTGAACCATTAATTAATCCCTTCGATTAAAAAATATGTTGCAGTCCAATGCAACAATTTTCATGGTTCAGTCTTACGTTACAAAATTCTCAGCCCGCCAATTAGATGTAATTGACTGTCTTCTATTTTGGGTACTACCAGAATTCTCGAAATTATTGGTTACCATTCAAGGACGACGAGGGAAACAAAAGACAAGGGAAAGACGAGCCAAAAGTGGATGGAGGCCAAGGTTCGTGTATTCCGATGCAACGGACGATCAATAAATAGACGCAATTCCTAGGAAGCTATCCTGTGGGAACTCCCTTTCTATCTAATCCTTCCTACCGATTACAGATTTCTATTCAAAACGGACGCCGATGAAACTCCATCCTCTGACGACGAAGCCGGAATACACACGTGGCCCTTGTGTATATCTGTCATTAGTGAATATTAACGTCATTGTCACGTCCAACGTTGATCCCGCCCACGGCCAAACCTGGTCTTCCGCCAATACTAGAACGATACGGACTCCGATACCGTGTAATTTAATCACGTTGATTGAACGGATTCATCACAATGTAATTAACCTTCAACCACTATAAGTATCTTTGGACCGTGAGCACATAAATCAGGATATTTACTTGTAATGTCCATTTCATACTTATTAGAAGAGTTTGGATCATTGATCTAAATTCCAAAAAGATATTAAAATTCCAGAATCATGATAAACAAGTTTGAAAGGAGTATCCGAGTATAAAGTTAAACAAGTTAGTCTCAGATGGCAAAAACATAGGATCGAGCATGATCGATACGAATTACGATTCGTTCTTCTACAGTTACCTACGGTCTATACTATTTAAGAATACTATACTATTAAGCAGAACACCATAAGAATCGCGTTTATTCATTTAAATTACCTAGAGCAATGTTTTGTCAAAGAAAAATCATTAAAAAAAAGCCGCGTACAAAGTAGATACTATGAACAAATATGTTCATGAAGAGTGAATTATCATCAAAAATGAATCATCTTTCTCATCCACGTGACAAAATAAAATATATATATATATATATATATATATATATATATATATATACAAAAAGAAGAAAGAAAACTCTCGAAGAGGTAATATCTCTCGCGACGAATATTTCTCGCGAACTTTCTCCCCAATCAGGCCAGTTTCTCTAATCGATCCCCCGTGTTCTCCAATCGTCTTGTACGTTTCTTCTTCCGATCAAGAGTCATTCGTCCCGCAAACACGCCGGGACGAGGACAAATAGCATTTGCAAGGGGGCTCGATCTTCCTGGAGGATCTTCGATTCGGCTGATTCTTTTCTCCGCCGGTGATTACGGGCCAGATAGCGTCCTTCTGTTGGCTCTCGGCCGTATTGTACCGGCGATCCTGCTCATCCGTTTCCGTGAATCTCTCGACAGTCTCTGGCCGGTCGGTTTGTTTCGTCACAAAGTGATCCAACGGATTAAGATACTCAATTTCCAGCTTCTTCGACACGACGTTCAAACATGGCTCGCTCTCCTCCTTCAGGAAATCGAACAGACCGGCGACGTTCAGCGGGACGTTCGTGTGAGAATCCAACAGATTCAGCTGCATCGAGTTCAACACCACTTCACCTGGTGGATATCTGTCCCCGTAACAATCCCGTAGGCACGCCTGGAACGTTTTGAACCGATACGAGCTGTAATTCCACGTGATGTCGACGACAGGCAAAACCTGATCGGTTTTCACGAACGTGGAAGAATATTTCGCGACCACATTCGCTCGAGTTCCGCTCGTACGTCTGCCTTCTGTCTCGGCCGCTGAGTCAACGATCGGTAACGTTTGAGTCGGTATCACTGGCCAGGATGAAACGGTTCTCAAGTTGGTCAACGATATCTTGGAATCGGAGCTGGCGACGCTGAACACCGTAGATTCTTTGGGATAGTGTTGCAGTATGTTGGAAGCGGGTGGTTTGTCGGCGGTTTCTGGGTCGGTCGCGTAATAATGGAAAATTGTGCATAGCTTTCTTGGATCTGCCTGTGGAGGAAGTATAATTTATCGTGACTTCAGTGATTTGAATTTTCTGAAGTTCTATGTAGTCTTATTAAACCACGGAGGTTCATGGAAATTTACGGAAATTCACGGAAATTCAAATAAACTACGGACTTCTAATACGTATGTGAAAATCTAATTCACAGAATCACGACATACTCAAATAAATTTAAAAGACGCGATAACCTCTAATAAATCACTCGGACTACAAAATTTTCTCTACAAACATTACAAAAAAGAGAAGAAATTTCATGTGGATCAATTACATACGATTAACATTTGGAGCTGAACGATGATAGGAAACATTAGGATTAAAGTGAGAAACAGGGCGTAAATGTTCTCCATGGAAAAAAACTTGACGAATGTCTTTGTATTTTCAGTTTCTATGAGAAGGCTAAAATCTCGTCCGTTTTCTCCGGCCAGAACGTCTTCATCGCTTCGTGGCTTACGATGCCGACGGAATACATTTTCAATCGAGTTTTTTTCTCTTCATTAATTCTATAAAAGTCGGTCAAACACCCGACACCGTCAGACCTGGCGCGGTCTATGGATCGATTTTTACGTCGCGACGCGAGACTACAAAAACCTGTCATTTGTTTATGGAAATATGCGTGACCGAATCGAAATGAAGAGTTTTGTAACCTGTTTGGACATCTCGTTGACGTTTCCAAATTTAATACATATCCGTGATAGAGTCTCGTTTCACGTAAAAGGACAGCGGCTTGTAAATGTATTCGAACGCTTACCATAAAAAATTTTTACATAACTGCTTATGCTTATATCAAATTGTTAGTATTTTGTAGTGAGTGATTCACGAATGTATTAACCAGTCTAAAAATATAGAAATTACAAGGCATTCGCCGTGAATATTGATATTTAGCAAAAAAAATTGTTAATTTACATTGTAGCACATTGTAATAAGTATTAAAGACGACCCCAGTGAATATTAAGTCTTATCAATATAATTACAAGTAGTTAATTCATTGTCTGTGTATTTTTTTGTAACCTTTGCGAGTTTGCATGAAATATCCTGTTTTTGGATGCGTATGTATGTTTCAAAACTGCCAATTTTCAAAATGTTTCGCATTAGAGATACAGAACACACTCATAGAAAATTTCTACAAGTATTCGAATAGTTTCATGAACTGGTGACCAAATGAAACATTTGAAATATAGAAAAATTGAGAGAAATGTATTAAAACATGGGGAGTGGATATGAAAGAAAAGAAGTAATGCAGCCTGAAATTTCAATAAAAATATAGAACGAATAGCGGCGATGTTCTGATAATATTGAAAAAACGGTGATCACACCGAGTCTCGGTGATTCACAGGGAAAAATTTCATCGCATTTCCATACGCAAGGGGAAAGAATGAATCTTTTTTTTTTTTTCGTCGCATAGAACGTATACACTATGCTAATCTTCCACGTTTTAATATTGCTTTGTGGGATTAAACTTTGAAAAAAAAAGAAAAAAAAGAAAAAAAAACGTCACCGTACGTTTATTTCACATAGGGAACAGTCGAGTATTTTACGACTGCGTATACAAAATGTTTCGACGCCAAATTTATTCATTTCCAATAATAAAAAGAACAACAATGATGTTTCGACGAGAAGGAGAGGCAAAATAAGGACACCAAAAAACGAAAAAAAAAGATAATTCTAACAATAAAAAGAATGTTGCAACGACAGGAAAAAAATTGGAGTTCCAGCAGTGTAAGAACAATGAGAGAGAACATGGCCATCGTTCCATTTTACAAATCTACGAAACCCCCGGCGCGTTTCGACCTTTGTTTCGCGTGCACGCTCACCCCATTTCCATACGTATACATCGCACAATAAACAGAAACGTTAAGCGTCAATCAGAGTAGAGTAATTTGAAGCAGCGAGCCGTAGGAGGAAGTAGAATCTCGGTGGTGCGTCAACCTCGAGCCCAAACCATAATAGGATGCAATTTAGAAACGGTCGAAACAGACAATACCGCGTCCTTCGAAGCGTAAATCATCCACCGCGGCGAGGGTGAGAGCGTGAGAGGGTGGAGAAGGTAGGAACTGCAATGGGTAAAATGGAGGTTGGAAGTGCATATCTTAATTACAATATTCCCACGGGCTGAACACAGGACTCTTGCCCGGTTCGCCAACCAACCCCTTAGTCTTTCCAGCCAGCTTCTAGGAATTTAATTAATTTGCCAGTGGCAAGCAGGCTTGCTCCTTGTCGCCACTCTGAAATATTGTATCCTTCCCACCCTTTAAAACCCAACGCTACCCCTCGAGTGCCACCGTAGTATCGCCTTTACTCAGTTTCTCTCTCTCTCTCTCTCTCTCTCTCTCTCTCTCTCTCTCTCTCTCTCTCTCATCTTGGTCTTCTGATTGCTTGTGTTCTTGCAACGCAACGCGAGCACGCCTTAATTGTTCTGATATCATTGTATTTCACTCGGGATATCGACACGAGAGTCTTCGTTAATAGCGTGATACAAAACCTCGGAGCATCTATCTCCAAGTACTCACTGACTGACATATAAATTGGTACCTGACATAATAATAATACATATATTGACAGAGAAGTAATGAAAAATTCCAAAAATACACAACTCTCAAGCTGATTTGCTTTTCTTGTTCTAAAAATTTAATTAAGTGAAGGGAAAAATAAAGATCAACAGATTCACTGGAGAAAAAATGATCAACTCATCCGTCAAAAAACTATCTGTTTACTCAGATGCTAAGTAAGAGAAAATTATGTAAAAAGCCATGCAAAACAGAATGGAAGAGCGGCAATTCTGTTTCGTGTATGAAATAGTGGAATAAAACGGTTAAACATTGTTCCTCTAGAATTAATATTGCGTGAGAGAGAGGCATAAGCGTCGTTTACGAGCTGGTACCGGAACTAAAGTGCTTTTTCTTTATTCAATTTGAACCTCTTACCGAGGACTATGTTATCGAGATAATCACTCAGTCATTTCTCAATCATCTACCACCGTGATTTCAAGACTTAATTCCTTCTTTGAAGATACGACTTCTCTTTTTTTTTTTTTTTTTTTTAATAAAATTTTATTGAGAATTGAAGAAGCTTTTTAATTAAATTTGTTGTAAATTTTGAACTTTTTATGTCTCAATCTCACTTTGATTTCAACTAACCAAAATTACTTATGATCGATGTTGAACATTCCCTAAAAACCTTGTTTGCAACTCAACATTTCTACCTAGCGCCTATGAGTAATACAATCGGTGCCTCGTTTCTTGTGATAAACGTAGGCCTCGTAGCAAAGAATATTGAAAACGGGACGATTAATTTCGATGGCTGTACATCCATCATAATTACGTCAATTTCAGATTACCGGGAAGAAGATAGAACTTTCGTTCTCCTGCTACGAAATGATCGAAGCAGAACTCGAAAAAACAAGTCATTTAGTCGAGCACGAAAGAAACGAGGAGCGGGGAGCCTGAAAGGGCTCAACTAGAGAAAAGAAAGAAAGGATGGATCGTGAAGGACGAAAAGCAGCGAAAGATGGATGAATAAAAAAAGACGGTTGGCCATCCGCCTCATCTGCCGTTGAAAAGGTGAAAATCTTGATTTGAGTGAGCGCTTTAGATCGTCGCGCCCGGAAAACTCGTAAAAAAGCGCCGAGAACGCCAGGAAATCCTTCGGCAAAGCCATTAACGACAATTTCTCCTAAGCCATCGAATCCCTCTTCTTCCGTCGGTGTCTTCCAATGTCAACCCCATTCCAGAACTCGTCAAAGCAGCGCCATTGACGTGCCGTGAAAAAGAAAAAGAGAGAGAGAGAGAGAGAGAGAGAGAGAGAGAGAGAGAGAGAGAGAGAGAGAGAGAGAGAGAGAGAGAGA